ACTAACTATTCAATACATACATATTGTAAAGGAAATTGATAGCTCTTTGAAAATATAAAAATTTTTTGCTTTCAGTTTCAACAGTAATTTACAAAAATTGTTTTCTTTATAAATATGACGTTTTACTGTAAAAACCACGCTTTTTATATTATTTAGTTTTCTCACTTGAAACCATAAAATTTTATTTTTATTTATACAATTGTTATATAATTGTCTTAAATATAATAATGAAATATTATTTATTTATATTAATTCATTTTTTTTTTTATTTTTTTATATGCTTTTTAATAATAAGTTTTTTAATGATTTTAGTACTTTGGAGAAATGATACTGAAATTTACGCCATTTTACCAACTATTCAATACATAAATATTGTAAAGGAAAATGATAGTCATTTAAAAATATAAACATTTGTTGCATTCAGTTTCAATAGTAATAAATATCTACGATATATTTATTTAAAGAAAACCATTTTTGTAAATTACTATTGAAACTGAATGCAACAAATGTTTATATTTTTAAATGACTATCATTTTCCTTTACAATATTTATGTATTGAATAGTTGGTAAAATGGCGTAAATTTCAGTATCATTTCTCCAAAGTACTAAAATCATTAAAAAACTTATTATTAAAAAGCATATAAAAAAAAAAAAAAAAAAATGAATTAATATAAATAAATAATATTTCATTATTACATTTGAGACAATTATATAACAATTGTATAAATAAAAAATAAAATTTTATGGTTTCAAGTGAGAAAACTAAATAATATAAAAAGCGTGGTTTTTACAGTAAAACGTCATATTTATAAAGAAAACAATTTTTGTAAATTACTGTTGAAACTGAAAGCAAAAAATTTTTATATTTTCAAAGAGCTATCAATTTCCTTTACAATATGTATGTATTGAATAGTTAGTAAAACTGCGTAAATTTAAGTATTACTCCTCAAAAGTTCAAAAACCACTAAAACACTTAAAATTTCAACATAATATAGCAATTAGGAAAAAAAAAAATAATTAAAATATAAAAATAATATGTCGTTGTTACATGTACGTATATAATTTAATAACTGTGGAAAAAAAATTCTATTTTTATCGTTGAAGTGTGAAAATTAAATAAAAAGAAAATGAATAAAAGTTTGAAAATATCAATCAAATAATGTATATATTTTATACTAACAGCTGTAAGTCAGGTGTATGTTAATTAATTTTTTTGAAATTCTGAGTTAATCGTCAGAATAATGTAACGATTAATTATTGATAAAAAAAACCAATAATTTTTTAGTTTAAAAAAAGGTACTTTTGGCACGCTAAATTCGTGTTTCATCCCACTGTGAGCCGGTCGGAATCCGCCACTCTAACCTTCTCGTGCCCTCTTCCCCACCAGTTTGAAAGTCAGGATCTCCTCCACCATTTTGTAGAAGATCCTAAACGACTCTTCAGCTTCAATTAGGACTGACGCCTTCTCCTGCTGGTCTGCCGGGAGGTACTCACCGGTCAGAATATTCCGTGCGTAAGTTTAATACACTGAAATCGTATTTTTTATAATATTTCGCACTCGTTCTGCCGTAGAACATAATAATATTATTCAGTGAAACCTCCCTTAGAATCCTCCCAGTAGAGGACGTTTTCTTAGGAACCAACTACAATGTTTCTATAATCTAAGTCCTTTGAATAACGGACAACATTTTAGCGACCCATAGAGTCTGACATTTAGAGGTTTCACTGTTGTATATTATTACACATCAACACATTCTGTGGTTATGGCGGTTCTGCTGCCGTAAGTACAAATTACATATATACAGCGAAACCTCTAATAATCGGACACTGTCGGTGGCTGAAATTTTGTCCATTTTTCGGTGGTGTGCGGCTATTCAGAGGGTTCAGATTGTTGAAAGTTTGAGTTGATTCCCACACTAAAATATCTGCTATTGAGAGGTTTCTGTTAGGGGAGGTTTCACTATATGATAATTATTATCATAAAAAGCCGTTATTACTTATTACCATTACAGTACCTACAATAATAGGTCGCATACCGCGGTTGATGGGAAATCAAATGTTACACGCGACAGTGCGTTTTTCGTAATAATATATTTTATACCAACACAAACGTACGACAACGAAGCCCGTCGTCCGCCGTTATTTCCGGAACACAATAGGTTTTTAACTTTTCGAAATTTGTTTTTTAATTATATGCTAATTACCACCGAACGCGGGCGACGGCGACGAACCCATTGTGTGAATCCACACACAAGTTTTTATAATTGGTTCGGGCGAAATCTAAAACCCTATACATAGCAGGTACACCGATTGAAACCTGCGCAGTGCCGACGAAAATAAATTTTAATCGCGACGATTGTCATCGTAATGTTGTCGACATGGCTTGCAGTCGGATACTCGCATATGATATTATTTTCTCTTGTCCCAAGCACATAACAAAATATTATATTATTAGTACCTCCTCCTCCTCTTCCTCCGAACACAGTATTAAAATAAAAAAATAACAGAACCACTGCACCGACTGCAGTATTGCACCCACAGACATGGACTAAACTACTGTCTAGGGGGCCTTCTACTAATCAGATGACATAATATGCCGACTTGATGGAGTTAAAAACTAAAATCAAAACCATATTTTGTGATAAGAATTTTTTTAATTTAAACACTTTTTCATGTGGGAGGCTACATGGGTAAACAAGTTATTAATTCAGCCCCTCACAGCTGCCAAACACGAATATTATATAAAAGTTGAAACATGCAAATAATTGATAGATGGAAATCCAAACGTATACTATTGCCGAAATATACAAAATCTAGTTAGACATCGATTCTTATGGAAATGACGTCGATAAATCGATTGGTATCTTCGGAATAGATATAAAAACGTACTATTTATCGGTCAAACACGCTATTCAAAATGATTGGTTAATCCATAACGAACCTTTTCAGTACATAAAAATGAAATTGGGATTTTTAAAAAGGTACTTTTTACAGTTTTACGCCAAACCGTACTATTATATTGCTCATGTTAATAAAATAGGCATCATAATCATTAACTATATACCAAAACGTACATTTTTTTTATGTTGTGACAAAATGTACAATTACCCGTGTTGTAGGTATAGAGAAGTAAAATGGTTAATCCAAAACGTACTAAAATTAAATTTTAAAAATTGTAATTAAGTTTGTAAATTAAAAATATAACCCTAGAATGGCTAGAATATTGAACACATTTGAATCGCTTTAAATGAAAATAATCAATTTTTAAATAATGTAAAAAAACACGTTATCTTCAAAACGATTTGTCTATTTATAAAATATGGTTTGTTTTTGTTGACAATGTTATAAGGTAGTTACAGAAAATCGATTCTTCTGAAAAATCAGTGTTTCGCCCATAGTGGGAGACCTACCCCTCAAATTATAGTACGTAATCAGTATGAATTCGTACGACAATTTTCGGAATTCGCTCGCAACTCGTTCAACGACAAAAATCCGTTTTTATATGGAGCTGGACGTTCGCGGCAGAGTTGCAGTGGCTTATTATCATTTTCCGGAATTTATCTTTTCCGTATGGAATATTATACGTACCAACTGCTTTTTCAGGAGCCCTCCTCCTCGTATCTTCGTAGCTATCAAATAACGGAGCCTGCACTGCGGCGACTATACATCGCTGACGGAACAGATAGGCAGGTCGCAATAATAAATGTACTTAATTATTATGTGTCATCGCAAGGTGGTTACATATTATTATAATTATTTTGTTCTCTCTTAGACACGTACGTCGTTATCTTCATGATAATAATATCGTCGTCGTCGACACGATACGGTTCCTCGAATTTCACACTGTTTTATAGTAATACATAACCGTTGTCGGGTCGCAGATTGCAAAGAAAAACTTTAGCGCGCGTTCGACTTTCGAACAAACAATAATACGACCCGAACTAACTATTATACACATATTATGCGACGCGTATATAATAATATTCTACTCGAAGCGACCGCACAATACGTAAATTACAATGTGTGTATTATACCTTACCTATATACGGACGACGCCTTACCGTTTGAGCGTCTGCTGCACACACGCCTTTCCGTTTATACTGTATAATATTATTATTATTATTATTATTATTATCATGGCAGCAGCAGCGTTTTCAATTAAATTCAGACGTTCGAGTTTTGAAACCAATTCTCTCCATCTCTCTGTCTCTCTCTCTTTCTCTTTTTCTGTCACTGTCTCTGTCTTGGCCTCTGTCTCTCTCCCTCTGTCGGTCTATGTCCCTCACTTACTCTCACTCTCTGAATACGAATATGTTAATAATACAAGTAATTATATACTGTACATCAGCACGTAATTTATTTCACTTATAAAACGGTTAGCACAATATTATTGTCTGATGAATATAATATATTATTGTATTATTCACACATAATATTAATACATTATAATTATATAAATATACACTTATAAATTATACCTACACTTGCGTCGTCTTCTGACGAACTCCGTAAATGAGAGAAATGTGACATCGACTTATTATTATAAATTAACAAAAGGTTTGACCGCTCACTTCGACTCGGCGGTACATTACTCAGTGTTTATATCACAAAAAAAAAATACATTTTAAAAAGGTTTTAAGTGCCCTCCAATACTGGATCCGCCCTTTGGGGTGTATGGGTACAGTCGCGATCGGGGTCTATGTTGTTCGTTTTACCGGACATATTAGAATGTCCACACGCGGTGGTAAAATTAGAATATAACATAATAATAATATATACATACAAATAATGATAATAATAATAATAATAATAATAATGATAGTAATAATGACCTTAAACGTGTACGAATATTTACATCTTACGTCGTAATAAGCGATCGATCACAATCCTACATAATATTATTATAGGTTGCCTTCCTACAACGGTCCCACACAGGGGTATGTTTTATAGTGCCCGACACGTCCGTCGACGAACATGCGGTGGCGTCTACATTCTATGGTCTAGTTGGACTTTGGCGAATTGTAAACGCCCATGAACAGCACCGATCCGGTGACCTTGTCGAACATGAAGTAGATGAAGGGATGGTTGCACCGGAACTTGAAAGGCTCGACCGGCCTGGACGACCGGGACATCAGGAACGACGTGGCCGCAGCGGCAATCGTGCCCTCTTCGTCCACGGAGATTTTTGCCTTGTGCACAGCGTCGTCGATGGTCACGTCGTTTGCGTTACCGGTCAGCGCCGACAGGTCGACTTTGCCTTTGAACACATTTCCGATTCCCATTTGCTCCAGTAGCTGGAAAAAATGCACAAAGGTTAAGTAATCACGATAAATAACCCTAATACTATATTGCTGGCTGAGAACAAAATCGAGTGCTTTACCTCATTGATAGTACCAATTTTTTGGCACGGCGATTTTATTTTAAGGTTTTTAGTCATACAATTGATAAAAGTTAATTTTCTCAAAAACTCTATATTGACGCCTTCCTACCAAATATGTTTATTATGAAATGTATAAAACAATTTCATTCGATCCTATATATGTTTAAGATTAATATTCTACGTGTTAATATCAACAAATTTACGTTAACACACAAATGTTTTGCAAAAATGAATACTTTTATTAAAATGAAAACTAAAAACGTTTCTAAGATTTGTTTTGGACAAAAATAGTTCTATCGATACTATTATTGTTTTATCCTATTGGCGTGTAATAAAACGTATTATCTAATTAAAACAATTTTTTTCCATTGTGATTAAAGCGTATTTTGTCGATAGGTTTCGAAATATTATTATCATTAACACTTATCATAATAAACGATTTATCGACGTACTATAATGTCATGGACACGATAGACGGTAGATAACATAACTGTAATGATTGTAATGTGAATATATTGTTTCAGCTGAAGTATTTTTTCATTCCAACAACCAATCACAAAACATTAGTTAGACATGTTTATTTAAACGTTTCCGAACAGGTTAGGCTAGGTAGAAACTATAAGGGTCAACAATTATTCAATAAATTTGTAGTTAGGTGAGTGGCTAGACAGCTATATAATCGGAAAAATTAAATCAAACCATTTCAACGATAAAATACACATTTACAGGAAAAACGATAATCAGATTTTGATCAATTTATATTTTATTTAAACGAGAAAAACTTTATCCAAGTTGTAATGAACTCCTATTTTAGAATTATCTTTAAATAACACCATACAATTTAATTTAAAAATACACAAACATTTGATACATATGGACTACATTAATCATGTACTACATACATCAAATGATCTACAAAAAAATTATAGAAATCTAATTATTTACCGAAGCAAAAGAGTTTTTCTTGTGACCCAATTTTTTGTACTTACTAAAAATGCGTCGGAAACCCTAACACATAGATAAACTTATTTGAAATAAAAAAGATTATTAATTCTAGAAACTCTTTAAATTATTCGACGAACCATACTTAATAAGTTATTAGTTTGAAAAAACAAACACAACAACAATTTGTCATAATTATATATTTTATAAACTTCACTTACCGGCACGAGGTTGTCCATGCTCTGTTCGACGTTAAACTTGGGTAGAGACACCTCGACGGGACGCGACGTCCATTCACCTGACGACACAATGTTTTGCAAAATGTTGGTATTGAGCCTCTTACTAAGCTGACTAATTCCACGTTGTTTGTTGAAAGGTGGCAGGATCACGAACAGACTGATGTCACCGCCTTTGTACGGGAGTTCCAAGACGTGCGCACCCAACTCGTCGGAGCTCACTACACAAACCGGGTTATAGGTATTATTATTATGTTTGAAATATCGTTGTGCAATGGTAGATTTGAGAGTGGTGGTGGTTTTTACAAATATAAAAATATATATTGGTAAATATTAACGATAACATATTGAAATATATAGATGGATCAATCACCACCATAATTGGGAGACATGATTTTTCCTATATGTATTCACGGTTGTTAAAGTAAATTACTGAAATGATAACAGGTAAAATAATTTAAACGACCGTATTTCAGCCGAATATTGCAGCAGACAAGTTGACAGGCTAAATGATATCTTAGGCGACAGTATTTGATCCAAAAAATTTTTGGCCGAACCGTATTTTAACTGTCGGCTGAAATATTTGTCTGCTAAATTACTACTGGCTAAAATACAGTCAGATGAATTATAGTTCTGCTAATATGCATTTCCGGCATATTTATTTATAACAATTTCAGCTGAACTGGGCATCGGTCACGCAAATTTTATGCGTTTGCGATCAAATCATAAACGGTATTTGCACTTTGCAGATATATATGTAGGCACATAGGTACATTAGTATGTTGAAATAATAACTAATAAATATTTAAAATTCAGTTTGAATGGGTGGATGAGTGGGTGCTTATGTACCTTGCACGATTAAATAATATAAACATTTAAAACCGCCTCTTCTGTTAAGTACATTATGTTCACCTATATACGCATTTCGTGACAAAGTAAAATATCAAATATAGCTGAAGGTACGAGTCATAGGTATACCATCTACCAACACTATGTATAATATGAAAACATACGTCACGTTCAAGATAATTTTTTGAATGATGTAGTATATGCTTACGTAGGTTGAAAACGCCGGATTGCCACATCATCGGAACATACGCGTTTTCGGTAGGTGAAGTGTAAAACACCTCATCTTTTGTGCTCTCAGAGGAAAACCTAGAGCTCCAAAAGCCCTTGAAATACGCCGCGTTCGCCTGTGGAAAAACACATGAAACGTTAATATGTATTGGTACATGTATATAAGCGTGACGTCGAAGTTGTTTTCAATTGGATTCGCGCAATCCGATATCATAAAATACAATAATAATTTATACAGTAAACTCTCGTTTTGTCTAAACTCAATAGGGAAACAGAACAAATATTGAGTTTTATCGTCATGGTATTTATGTAGGTATTTCGATAGCGTCGAGGTTTTGACAAATTTGAGATCTCGACGTTCGACATAACAAGAATCTACTGTGTATTATGATGCGATTATATGCTTACCAGCACAAGTCTCGTCTCGTACGTGATTTTTCCCTCGGGCAACAGGTCCTTGATTTGCTGGTTGGTCTGGTTGGTCACCCAGTTGTTGATGTACATACGAGCCAGTTCAGGATCGACGACGAAATCCATTTTGTGCACCTCGTCCTTGAACACGTCGGCAATGCACTTTTGTATCGGAAGTCTTTGGGAAACGAACAGGCGATCCACCGAGCTGAACTCGTAATCTCCGCTTGTGTTCAACGCCCTCATCGAGTGGAACAGTTTCTCCATGCGGTACGCTTGCATCACGCTCAGTTTGCCCTGTACCAATGGTGAATTAGGTCAGTCGATGATAAAATCAGTCAGTTGCAGTCTTCCGCAGTTTAAGTGTATTATATATTATTATATTTTACGCAATTTAACGAGGTTTTATAAACGATTTTAAAGAGTTAGTAGAATTCCCGGTACTTGGCGGGGTGTGTCTTCAGAACAAAGTCTGTGTGTGTCGTGAAAATTCCCAAGTCATTGCAAAATACTAAAAACTTACTAAAAGTTCTACACCGAAACAAAATTAATCTGATTTAAAAGTTGAAAACTAGTAAGAGCAAAACGGAAAATCAAAGAAGCATACTTTTTCAATGAATAGTATACGAGTTACCGTATACCGTTACTCTACATTTCAAAGGTTAGTTTTTACTTTTGAGTTTATTTACGCACTTAACTACAAAATATATCCTATATTTCTAGACCTATCGTATATACTTATTATACTTATATAGTAAATAATGCGATTACAGCGGTTGCAATGTACATATTTGATATAGTGTTACGGAAAAAAACGTTGAAACTTTTACTGTATTAATAATTATTCATCTGGAATTATAATATTATAGTATATAGCCATATAGGTCATATACATATTCTAAATACGGATCAAAATGTTTTTATGTACATGGATATTTTTTTAATAAGAAAAAATTATTCATCTATTATCTAATATCTTAGAAGAAAAATATTTTAAATGTTGAAAAAAAGCTTATTATACCCGTTTTTTGTGATGATTTACCTACATCTTATGTTCTCAAGTAATTTATTTCTATACTATACAACATATTTTTTTTACTTTAAATGGTCACAACCTATATAATAATATATAATTTATACATTGTAATTAGTTATTAAGGGGTTATAAATATACGTATATATATTGAAACCATATGAATTTGCAAACTCTTATTTATATACAATATGCTACCCTTAACTGTACTTTTTTAAACTTATTATGTATGGATGCTGTGATATTTTGAATCATACAGGTTAGTCAAGCATACGTAAAATACGGTATATATTATATATTTATAACACGTTCAAGAAACTCTCCCAATTCCACAGGGAAGACTATTTAAATAATAAAGTAATAAAGAGTTCTAATACAAAGTTTACGTGAAAGTCAATCCAAAAATATGTACTAATGATATAAATATATAATATTAATAAAAATCAAATAAAAAACGCATTCAATAAAATAGTTAATGAACTTGATGAGAATTTAATTCAATTATAAAAAATCAATGTGTTTAAATATAACATTTTATTCATATTATGTTACTATTTAATAGTAAATTGTTAGTATATTTACTAACTATATTACTAGACACTAAGTACTTAATATTTTTAAACAAATTAATATTCAATGATCTTATTTAATAATAGCATTGAGTTAACCAGGTTAGGTTATAAATTATAACCTAATATGATTGAAGAATTTAAAATAATGGACCCATGACCATCGTTTAGATTTATAAATACCTATTAGCTTTATGGTAAAAATTAAAATGTATTTAATATCTGTATTTCATAATAATATGTATGATCATTGGTGTTTTCTATCGCCCACCCTATTTACTTTGGGTATGATAGCCTATCATAGTAATATATGTATTGTACCTAATAATAATACTATTGGAAACGCAAATGGGACTTTAAATCTGAATAACTGCTGCAGTAGTCAAATTAATCAAATATATAGTTTTAAATAGTCCTATCATCGATAGGTATACAACGACTCTCGCAAATGGCCCAGTCCCATGAAAATGTCTAGTTCCGCCTATGGTACCTATACGTCTTAACAAACGAGGCGAAACTTTCGATTATTGCTGCGATCGCGATGCTTACCTGTTCCGGCGGTAGATTGAGGAAACGCTTTAACGTCTCTTCCGTTTCGTTGTTGCTCAAGAAGTATGTGATGAGTAGTGCAGTGTATATGCTGTGCGGCGAGAATATCAAGTTCTGCTTGGGCGAAGCGGTGACGGCTGTCTGCAAGAGTTTGATGCTGAACTCCTGCTGTCGTTCAAACAAGTAAAACTTGCCGGAAAGGAAGTCGTTCAGCGACAGCCCCGGCCCGGGTGGCACACATTTCTGCGCCACGTTCGGCAGCGTCGCTGACCGGGCGGCGGTGGCCAACACCGTCAAGCCGACAACACATTTGCACAGCCAATGCATTTCCACGGCGATCGTCACTTTTTATTGGTTCCTGGAACAGAACGTAGTTTATCGTGTAAATGTCGTTCGATAAAACTGAGGTGTGGTACACGAAAAAAAATTGCGTTAAACGTGAAGAAACAAAAAAAATGAGTTGTATAAAGAAACAAAATGGGGTTTTTCTATTTTCTACACTCAAATAGTTATTTCGTCTGTTCTATTTCCATATTATTATTGTAATTTATATTTGATAAAAATATCGTTTTTATGCGGATGGCTTTCGGTTTCAGACTTCAGTGTCGGGTAAACGCTGCAAGTGGAACGTAGTTTCGTGTCACTTACAGGACGTTAGGTGTAAGGACAAAGAGATTAGCTTTTTAAGTTGTGTCAACTCTATTTACTCCGTCAAGCTTGAAATTAGTAAACCCATTGGTTTCTGGAACAAATCGTTGTTTTATCGTGTATTTTGAACGTACCTAAAACAGCGTGGTACAGGGGTACGACAAAATATTGCATTTAAAGAAGAAAATAATTAGGTTTAAAAAAATTGTTTTTTTTTTTGTAATTATATCTACACGTAAATAATAATATCGTCAGCCCTATTTCCGTCATAATAATAATTTATATTTTATAACAACATCGTTTTTATGTGGATGTCATTCGGTTTCAGACTTCAGTAACGACTAAACGCTGCATTAAAGTAGGTAGTTTAGTGTTACGTATGTATAGGATGTAACTGTGTGAGTACAGAGAGATATACTTTTCAAAGTTGTTATAGGTAGGCAAACTCCATTACACTGTCACTTTAAATTATTATTAAACCCTCGTGGGACACCCTGTATAATACGTATAATAAAGTTTCATTATAATAATATTACAACGCGGTATTTTATTGCATTATTTTTTTTCATATAATATAATATCGTAACGACTTTTTGTTTAGTTTTCTCCTTCTCGAACTTTCCATTATGGCCGACATAGGGTGCGTTTCATTTTTCTGCGGAGTCGAATAATTATTAAAACATGATAATATATAATTATGGCAACGGCTGAAATCGTTTAACGTAAATTTGCCTCGAAAAACCCGACGCAGGTAATTTAAAACCAACTTGGTAACCCGCTGTTATTATAATGTTGTCCATTGTACATTTAAGCAGGAGACCTTCTTGTCTGTTAAATACAGCACGCTCGGTTGACGTGTATAAAGGTACCTACATTATATTATATACATTCGTATATATTATACTATTTATTCCAGACACCGTAATTTTTACAAGACTCGTACAAGCCGGGCTCTTTTTAATTCGATGCAATTTACCTGTTTGACTTTAATTAATACGATAAAAAACGACAACAATAAAAAGTCGAAATAGGTATAATATTGTGTAGGTATACATACTACGCGTTGAACGGTTGAACGCATAATTAAAAAGCTAAATTATCGCGAGAGAAGGACATTGCAGCAAACTAGTATTATATATAGGTAGCTGCGGATTCGTCGACAAATTTAAATAACGATATTTAAATTGGTGATATATTGTTAAATCGTCCACACGTCTAAATACATATAATTATACGCACGCGGTGAGGTGTGTAATTAAAAAACCAATAACGACTGTATTTTGACAACAATTATGACTGAACTATAGTTATTGTAATTTGTAAATAATTAAAAAAAAACTTTTACCGTACAAACCGTGTAATAGCATCGGTAACTATATTGCAATAGTTATTATTATGTTTTAGTGCATATTATTATTATTATTATAAATTGCAGCATGCCACGATACGCTGTATAATAGTTGTCGTATGTACAATACAATTTTAATCTTTCTTATCGACTATAACCATGTATCACTTCACAAAACAATTATTTATTTTATAATAATAAATAATTATTTTTTGACCGATTTAATAACAATAATCACAACCCGTGCATTTTGATTGGTGATGCGTATGCTTGTGAAACATACTCGTAGTGACCAGCTAAGTTCGAATTAATAATTGCTTGACTGATTTTTAAGATTATTTTAAATCCATCTTGTCGTAATATTGTCATCTTTAATCAAAACAATTCCTAGTATATCGAATATGACGTGCTGGATAACGAAACATTGCGGTAGTCGACGAGTCTAGTTTGGAAATAACCATAGTTGTTGTTTATCTTAACAATACGATTGTATAATATATGAATTTACAGTTAAAGTAAAAAAAAAAATAAAACAGCCAAACATTGTGAGTATAATTGATTATGGTTATAATGTTCACCGGCATTTATATACTGTCATGTAAAATGCAAGTTAATGAAAAAAAAAACAACAAAAAAACATAATAAAGAGCAAAAACATTTCGGTCCGACGAATCAGAGAAGGAGGAGGGGAAACCTTCATTTGAATTTTGTTTTTGCAAAGAATAAATCACTTGTGATGTGTCGAATTAATTCTATCGTCACAAAATATTATTAATTCAAATAACGACCCGAACGATTTCATTACTTATAATATTTTCTCGTCACATTTCTCGAATTTTCCGCACATAAAACGCGCACGTTTAAGTGGTACCATCTATAATAATTATAATAATGTTATAGTCATTGCATATTATATATCAGTTAAGTTGGCGAGCATCTACGATTGCAATAATTTTCCAAATCTGTCTGCACGTAATTATGTTTGATGGTACACGTTTTTATATTTTATTGTTTTTCTCGACGGAGTCTTCGCATCAACTTCCGAGGCCATTGACGCCTATAATATGATGGTCAATTAATGACAATTTCATTATAATATTTGCCCCATGGAAAATAATCATATGTGCAAGCAAAAAATTAAACATAAAATATGGTTTTCAATTCTTGATTATTTCTCTATTCAGTATTTTTGAAGTTAACTTTTACATAATTGCCGTTTCCTTTTCTTCCACATTATTTTTCAATAAATACCAACTTGTTACCTATAATTTGCTATAAATAGGTTTCGGAACCTCCTAGTTAAACTCTATCCTCCCCTGAAAATTACCCTATGGGCGCCCTTGTTGGGTACCACATCTACAATAATATCGTTATAACTTATATCTATTGCATATTGTTCTGTTCGTGTTAACGAGCATCTACGAATAATTAAGATAGAAATATTGTCCCGGTCTGCCTTCACGTAACTACGTTCGATGATGATAATATTCAGAAACTATTAATTTATTATTATAACGACATCTCGCAAGTACAACTACTCCAAACAATACCATACCCACCTAGGATTTAGGTATAACATCGCCCGCCGCAGAGAAAAACGCCGTATCTCTGTTTTCACAATTTTTTTTTTTCAAGTTGTCATAACTATTTTTGTGTAGTTCCCACGAAGATGGTAATAACTGCATTTTATTGTATAGAACGTCTTTGATTGTTCTATGCTACTATCAGTTTAGAGGGAACTACACAAAAACTACAGCTATGACAAATTGAAAAAAAAAATTGTGAAAATAGCGATACGACCTTCTTTGCTGCGGCAGGCGATAAATAATATACATAGCTATGCTCGATGGCATCTTCGCAGCCAGTGACGTCGATATTATAGTCAATTATTAGTACCTAACGATCACCTGCCTATGATATAATGTTATACACGAATACACGTCATATATTATTATTATTATTATACGCGCCGTGATTTATGGAAACTGTCGTCTGTGCAAACAGCGATTGCACAACGCCAGTTATATTATCGTATGAGACGGAAATCGATCCGAGTATCCGACCGTTTCTAAAGAAATTATATCGTAGGTACACAAAAACCTTCCGCCTAAATAGTAATAATATTATAATAATTTTATATGAATAATAAAATGCGTAGGTAGTGTGCTATAATAGTTTTCAGCGAATTTCGTATCGACAAAACGCGTATTATCCCGAAGAATAGACTTGTGTAATATATAAATATATACACAATGTATATTATAATATATGTATTATCATTAAAAAGTGTCTCGACATTTTAATATATAATATACCTACCTACTATTATTTACCTTTGGCCACGTCGTTTTGTGCTGCACGAGTGTATAATATCTGCAGCCTACTATTACTACATATACTTTGTAAAAATTGGATATCCTTTTTCACGTATCGGACAGATATAAAATTATACATATTATAATATTTCTATTATTATTTACAACGCTTGTTAAAAATAAAAAAAAACGAACGTTGTGCCGTTCTAACCGCAACGTGTCAACCAATATTATACTAATATAATATACACCTATTGTATTATATACATGTATGTGTTATATATTATTATAGGTACCTACTAGGTAGTATCCACACGAATTGCGTCCAAAAATATCCGGCACGCAATATTATTATATTGGTTTATTTAAATCTTAAACAATTAATAATTAATACTTCATAAATAACAGTTTGTTTGTTCAATGTATAATTAATACTATTATTATATTTTGAAATACTTGGTGGCCACCTGGAGCCCTTATTTAAACACTTAAGAAACCACGTAACTGGTATTTTGAGAGTACGTTACTAAAATCATTTTTCCACTTTAGCGAACCGGAATTATCGTTTCGTTCTAAAAGTCGTACCGAAACAGGAACGTTTTCGTTTCTTCTAGGAACCGAAACCGAAAAATTTAGGTAGAGGTTCATAAAGGTTCCAGTCCTTGACTGTAAGAGTAAATACTTAGGTTTCGACGGCTTTAAAGTCATATAGTGTATGAGGTACACCTCTATAATACACTAATTATTATTATCTCGTGTTAGGCAGCACCACAGTTTAAATATACATTTGGTTACTATATTATAGTGTACAAATAAATAAAATAAACAAATACAATTAATAAGGGTAACATTAGGTTAGAATTTAAAATAACACAGATATATATTGGTAGCTCTTAGTTTCTTAGGTAGTTAAAAGTTAAAACGCCATCAGATGACGAAAATCCTACCATCTAACCGACGTATTTTTCTTTACAGGGCCCGTTAATTGTGGGGCCCCTCAAAGAAAACTGATCCCA